GCAAATTTCTAAAATGATTTATAATTGAACCGTACAAAGCAACATTTAGCACAGCCTAAGATGTTCATGTAATTCAATTTTATTTCCCTTAAAGAATAATGGGAAGACTCACAGGAAGCATTTTACATGGAAACAGAGCCTGAAGCAAGGATTTTTGTGCTTAACAAAAGATGTCAGTTTGGTTTTCTTTCCTGATGCCTCTTTTATTGTAAATATAATAAAAACCTAGTAAATAGGAGAAAAAAGAAGAAAAGTCTTACTTTAAATAATTAAGATGGATAAAACTATATTAGAAAACCCTGTGGCCAAATCAATTTATTGTTGAGGTATTTGAGAATCTCTATTCATCGACTCCTTGACTTGCTGTGTTATGTTAAGCAGAATACTTCATCTCTGTCCATCTCCACCTTTTGTCCTCTTAGCCTTACTCTCCACTGTTTTTTCATATGGTCTAGCCCAGACTGAGAAAGCAGGATCTCTGGGTACTCTCACAGGGCAATGCTATTTCTTGCTTTTTCTCTCTTAAAGCCATTTGTGATGTTTTTAATTTCTGTAGCAGTAAAGTTAGGTACTAAAAATGAAATAAATTTTCTTTTAGAATAGTTGTAAATTAAATTCAATTCCATAAATCACCTTTAGTAAGATGATTTACATTTAACAACAAATGAGAAATTGCAAACAGAATGTTTATGATATCAAACACAGAGGTAGGAACAGGCAGCGTGACTAGACTAGATCAAGCATAGTTTTGAAGGCCAACAAAGAAAAAATTGCACCAAAGTGAAGTGTATTTTTGCATAGAGTGTTACACATCCAGAAACTCTTGAATCCAAGGTTCCGTATTGTCCAGTATCATTGGTTTGTTCTTTTATCACACTGACAGGCTGGACTTCCACTAGGCCATAATACTTGGATGCCACCATTTTGGAGCCATGTGTTTCCCCCTTAATGTGACTCATCTTTCACTTTTCATACACTTCCTCAGGCAGAGCAGCAGCCCACACAGATGTTCTCATAACGCTGACCTAAATCTGTAACTACTCTGCAGTTACAGATGACCTCTCCAAAGAGAATCCTGGATGTAAGCCACTGCCACCTCAAGCAAATACATCCTATAAATCCTTTTCAGAGCTTTATGAAGCACTGTTTTAAAAATAGTAAAGGAATCAGTTTTTCCAAGAATTTATATTACTTGTTTATGATCCTCCTTCCTGAAAACATGAAAACATGAAAGTTTGGCTCTGCCTTTACAGGGAGTCAAGCATATCCAGTGATTATTTCTTTGAACTTGAAAACTCCATGTCCTTTGTTAGTTCTGTGTCTATCTGGTACAAGGCTTTATCTTTTCTGCATCTTCTCTCGTAGAGGGGAGCAATGACAGTAAGCTAGCTGTGTGGTTTAAATGGAAATTACAGTCTGATACAGCTGCAGATAGAGAAGCCATATTGGCCACGTTTGCAAGCTGTACATGACCATGTTCCCCCTGTTATCACACCTGTTTCTATATTTTGTCCACTGAATAAGCACGGCTGTGTTCTGGCAGCAGGAGGCTACACACAGTATGTTCTTGCACAAGGTAAACTCTACTTTTCATCTGGGAGGTCTTGGTGTGGAATTCCAGTTAAGTCAAAAGCAGTAGTGTTGAGGATTCATTGGAAACAGCCAATTTAATCCCCTAGCTAGCACAAGTATGTTTTGTTCAATTCAGTCAAGGAATCCAGGCTTATAAAATGCCTTATAATGGGTTTTGAAGAATTGTTTACATGAAAGAATCAAGAGAGATGAAAAACAGAGTGGGTTACTCTTCAGGAACAGGCTGCGTACAGGAAATAGGAAACGTATGTGTCAACTTTGCTTCCAAGTTCCAACACTGATGTGAAAGAAGACATAAAGAAGGCCATTTCAGGGAAAAAGTTTCCATTTGCCTGTATAAGCTGAATCACACATGACAGCTAAGAAAAGGCAGCATTGCGAAAGACTGGATAATAGTGCTGTTGCTGTGATTTCTGGTTAGGAGAAGCTTAAGAACAGGAAGAACAAGAAGAAAAGAGATGTACTGAACTATTTGCACTCTTATTACTCTGAGTGATAACTCTCAGCCTGATTCTGAACTAGCCATTGAATTTCAGTTACTTTTAATTAAATTCAACTCATCCCTTACTTGAAAACACTCTGTCATTTCAGTTCATGAGGTATTTTGTTAGGTATTGTACTCAGTGGAACTGCAGAGAATATTAATGTTTTCCCAATAGTATATGTAATGGTCAACTGTACCTTCCCACTTTCTTAAATAATGCTACAGCATTTTTAGAAAGAAAAAGTAACTCAGTTATGTGTTTTGAAAAGGAAATTTAAATCCCAGTTCTGTTTTACTTCCACATCTTTATTACTGAGCTTGAGAAAAGATCATCAGAGCTGCTTCTATGTCTTTTCATTTTTCATTCATTCACACTGAATTTATAGCAACTTTCCAAATAATAACGGTCAACTTGGCAGGAATAAATGAAGACCAAATGGTGTAATCCCCACAAGGAAGCATAATTCTGTTATGAAGTATTTACAATAGCAAGCTTGAAAATCCAACAATAGGGTATATTGTTAGTAAGATCTTTATAGCATCCTTTATTAACTGATTCATTGTTAATGGTAATAAAGAAAGTTCTTCATGTGGCAGTCAACCCAATGTCTACTGTTTCTTTAAGAATCCTCTCAGGTAGAAGAAAATAGAATTCTGAGATAAGTCAATAAATAGAACATGTAGTTGTGAGTGTAGCCTTGCAGAGTTCACAAGTTCCCAGGAATGCAGCTGAACTTTCTGATGCTGCTTTCCTGTGACCCTCCAATAACCCTTATTTCCCCTGCCTCTGTGACCCATTAATGTCTCCCTGTCTCTCCATTGCCTTCATCCTCCTAAACAGGTTGGCTAATTTCCAACTTGGATTCATGCACAGGCCACCCTCCTTGGAAACACTTCACAGCCTTTGAAAAACCTTTAATAGTAGGGTATCTCTGCTAGCTTGCACATCCAAACTTCACACACCTCAACCACTCACCTAGCTGAACAATACAAGCTATCAGGTTGAAAGTGGCAAAATTTTGTAGTGGTAAGTGGTACCATTTTATGGTATTAAGTGATTCTGTAAAGTTAAGATCAGAAAATGTAGACCTTCTGAGACAAGGGAGGTATAGATTAAATATTAGAAGGAAGTTCTTCACAGAGAGGTTGGTGACACACTGGAACAGGTTGCCCAAGCGGGTTGTGGATAGTCCACCCCTGGAGGCATTCAAGGCCAGCCTGGATGTGGCTCTGTGCAGCCTGTCTGCTGGATAACAAGAACTGCTCCTGGCCAAGCAGGCTGCATAAGGCCGTAGGCATGCCTCTATCACTCCCCTCGCCTTACCCATGCCTAATAACGTGTGGCCTGGTACTCATGTCAGAGGCCTGAGCTATGTCCAGAGGTTGTCAAGGAAATGTGGAAGTGCTGCCTTTGGCAGAAGCATGAAGGCCATAAAATTGTGTGATGACCAACCTAGGAACAATCCTTCACATTTTTAGGAATTGCAAATGAGGTCTTAAGGAACAAATGGAAGCTTCTCTGGTTTTTCTGCAAAGTTTTTCCTATCCACACTTATGTCTTGGTTTGCATACCTTGTAACGGTTCACCCCACCCTTATTTATCATGGCAAACCACATGTAAAAGGAGTATAAAGTCAGGATGCTGGAGGACAGCTTTCAGATTTCCCCTCAGCCTGAGACCTCCAGCTTGCAAGCCCCCCTTCCCTTGGACCCCATCCCACAAAGGAAATGTTGACAAGACAGTTCGTATCACCTTTCCTGCCCTAGTTTACATTCCCTGGAATTTGTGTAACATTACCCAACCTAATGTACCCTCACCTACTCTACTTTACTTCCCCCCCAACCCTGGAATACTGATCAGTCATAGGCTAATACTGTTTGTTTAGAATGCACGTGATTATAGATCATACGTGCAGCAGTTTGCTTACAGTGCATTTAATAGATTGTCAGGTACACCTGATCTATAAAAGCAAGGGGACTCTTAAGTAAAAGTGAGAGATGCCATCCCAGACCATTATGCCTTGACCCTGTCCTTGGTCACACAATATGCAACAATCACCTGTTTCTTCTGTTATGGAAAGAGTTGACAGTAGTGACCAGCTGTCCTTGGCAGTAATCTGTCCATGCAACCACTCACTTGTGACTGAAGTTAGTCTTGCAGTTATTTTGTATTCTTGCAATAGGACAATAATCCTTATATTGACACACTCAGTCTGAATTCTGTCTTCTGATCATAGAAACACAGAACGATGCAGTTATACAATCACAAAATGGCCTGGGTTGGAAGGGATCTTAAAACCCACCTGGTTCCAACCCCTACACTTTGTGCTGGTTGTCCTCCCACCAGATCAGGCTGCCCAGAACCCCCTCCAGCCTGGCCTTGGGCACCTCCAGGGATTAAGCACCCACAACTGCTCTGAGCAACCCTTTTTTGTGTCTCACCACCCTTTGATCAAGGAAGGATGATCCCCAAAAATGAGCTCTAAGAGCTTCAAAAGTTCATTTAGAACTTTAGACAGAGTTGTCTGTATATAGTGACAGCAAATTGAAGCACTGAAATATGTTTAGCTGTCATCTTGAGACTAAACAAACATCCAGCTTCCTTTCATATGACATATTCTTTACCTCCCACATCATCTCAGTGTTGTACTCTTCATGGAAACAAATGCCAAGAAAAAAAATCTGAACAAAATTAGTAACTCTGCCAAGTGCTGGAGATGCCACTGTTGGTGTCTACCAACATCACTGTGGAGCAGATTGTACCTTATAATTTATCAGATCTTCCCCTAATTTTGCCAGTAATAGTACATCTAGAAGCTGGACCATAGGCACTGCAATAGTATCATAGCAGTCAGAATCTTCGAACATGTCTTGAATGCCACTGAATTAACCATTCACACCACAAAGAAGACCTTTTTTCAAGATGTGCTACATCTGTGTCAGAGAATTTGGATCACAGACTATTTCTATACATGAACCCCAATGCCTAGAGTAGTGGGATACTGCAAATAATCAAGACGTCTCAGTACCAAGATGTCTCAAAAGACCAGAGCCCAGGAGATCTGAGGTCCTTCCCAGTGTTTCCTTTAGTTTTACAGCTGAAAATAAGGCAACTTTATCACAGTGCTGAATCCCAGCTTCTGCCCTGTGGGAACTATGGCTGGACTCTCCCCCCAGCTTGTCTTATTCTGCAGCAGGGGAGCTGCAGGGAGATGTCAGTGGTGTGAGGTTTTCAGGTTCTAACCCCAATAAATATGGTGAAGGTCTGAGCTTTGGGAGTAGCTAAGAAAGAGAAGATGTATCTAAAACCAGGCGATGAAAGAGGAGCTGCACCAGCTGTATTAGGCAACATAAACTGCTAAACATAAGCTGTCTGAAAGCACGTGGGTGCATCTTGATGCTTCAGGAGAGATTTTATAACCAGTTTCTTTCAGAGGAATCTCCTGTCTCTGTGCAAATGTTTCTCTGCTGAATAGCTGCTAACAAAAAGGGGAATACTGTTTGAATTAAGAAAACTACTTATTCCTATTTCTTTTGTTTTTTCTGTTGAAAGAGAATACTCTCTGCTCTTCTGGGAATTATGTTCCTGAAGGGGACCTTCATGTTCTGCAGCTTAATAGAAGACTCTGTTCAGCAGCTTAGGCAAGATTTGAATGTTACATGCTTTAGCAGATACTAGGTCATTTTATATATTTAATGCGGAACACAATGCCTTGTTATCCCGTAACCTCTACAGTGAATTTCACTTTTTACCATTATTCTTAACTTTGGCTTGGAACATTGGTTTACAGAAGACTGCATGTTCAAAGGCAGCAACTCAGTGTGTAACAACAAAATAAAGAAGACCGCACATTTCTTTCCACTGAATTTGATTCCAGAATACAAACTTTTGGAAAGTGGCATGTTTTTTTTCTGCATTTGTTTCTGCACAAGCTGTCCTTTGGACAGGAGCTTTTAAAAAAGACAGATGTCTAAATTTAGTCCTGGTGTCTAAAATAAATGGCTGGATGTTTTTTTTCTCAGTGGGGCTTGGGACTCCTGATAGCCTATACCACTTTTGAGAATGGGATTTAGCTGCATCATATACGTAGTGCATATATCATATGCAACTATATACAAAGTTCTTCTAAAATCATTTTGAAAGTTAAGCGTGAACTTTCATTAACATAATTTATTCATTTATTTAGCATTTAGCTGCTAAATAAAACTGAAGAAATTGAGATGATAGCAAGTATAATCACAATCGGAGGGATTCTTATATTACTTATTTGAGGCCACTGATTGATAGATAATAGCACATGTCCACTCCTCATTCCTCTTGTCGGCCAGTTTTATATAACCCACACTGGGTGCAGCGTGCCACACAGGTTCATCTGCAGCTGTAGGAAAGGAGATGTTCTCACTGTGACAATGCATAGTACTGTATGCTGAAGAACCACTGCCTTGCCCTAAAGGTGATTGTACAGTGAAAGGCACAAGTGTGAAGCAGAGTTCTGTCCATCAAACACAGTTTTGCATGTTTAAAAAAGGGAGTAGTGGTTGTACAAGGGAAAATGTCCATAGTTATAGCAGCATACAAAAACAAGTTTCAGCGTGTGGTTTGGCACTGCGAATGACCCTGTGAAACACTGCCCTCTTGCACAATGCATCTGCACCCTGTGAGGATTCAGTCACATCTGCTGACTTATTGAACAACAACATTATTACCATTTCTTACTTCTGTGAGTTCTGCAAAGCCAGAATGAAATGTGTTCCCGTCTGCTCTTCCTGGTGTGTGAACAGCAGTTTTCCTCATTTAGATCTAATCAGTTCATTTTTAAATTGCAGCGTAACTAACTGGGCTGTAAGGCCTGCAGTTTGTAACTGAGTGCAGGAATTCACTTTTAGCAATGACTTTCAAGAAGAGAAATGAGATTTTATCTCCTTGTGATCCTTGATATTATTAAATTTTTTGAGCTGTCCTTATGTACGGAAGCACACTTTAAAAACAGAGATGAGAATGGAAAGAGTGAAAAAAACATCCTATGATGGCAGGTGGGAAGACAACATCTAAGAAGAGGATAAAGAAAACCTCTTTTCCTTTGATCTAAGCTCTGTGGATGAAGGTGTCCAACTCCAGCTGAAATTTTTCAGAGGTCAGTACATCAAAGTATGTCAAAAAGCACTAAGCTCGTGGAAGGACTGGAGATAAACTATGACCAGAGAAAAGATATGGGTCTCCTTTACAGTCTTCCTCATTTTCCTGCAAATGGTTCTAAACTGCTCACATTACCAGCTATCTAGTTGCTTATTCATTCTGTTGAAGTATACTACTAGAGAAATGAGATGGCAATCTACCATGGTCTGACTGGAACTGCATCAGTTACTCCTGCTTAATGAATGTTTATAGCTTCCAACCCTGCTTTCCGGATCTTAATTCTTGTGGTGTTCTAGTCCCACATGAAAGAAGGACCCACAGGAAGTCTATAAGAGACTCTGAAGACTTTTCCGAGGAGAAAAACAAACATCTGGGGGAGTCCATATTTCACTTAAGAGACCTAGTCAAAGTGGCAGTGAATTATTTAAGCACCTATAAAAAGTCCTGATTTAATAAACATCAGAGGGAGGGAAAAATTAACAACAACAACAAAAAATAAAATGCACCCAACATATATATTTAAGAGCATTAATGCTACTGTCCTATCTCTGTGATGAAATGTGACCTTATAATAAAAGCTGGATTTTCCTCCTTTTAAAAATAAAGAGCAGAGTGATTTGGTGGTAGCACATGCAAGCAGTGTCTTTACTTTCCAACCACAGGCATTTCTGTCTATGTGACATTATCTTGGAACTCTCTTTCCCTTAGCAAGTGCAGGATCAACCAAATCAACATGGCTACTGACAAATTCTTGTTCATTTTTGTATTGGCCATTCAGCAGCCTCCTTAAGCATTCTCTTCCATTAACTATCCTCTCATCAAGAATGCATAAACACATCTGAGTTAGTTATGTCTGACTGTGTAAAAGAAATAACAGTTCATGCTTAATTGAGTTTCAAGAATCACATCAGCCCAGAAATCCCGTTTCTTGCATACAATCTGGACTCTGCTGTGACACCTTAGACTACTGAAGTGATGTCTGGAACTACTGAAACTCAGACTTGTGGTAGAACAAAATGTGTTCTCTTATTTTTTCGTAGACCAAAATGTTTGCTACTGCCAGTGTATTAATGACTTGCTGTGGGTATATGTTTTCCAGTTTTTTAGACTACAGATGGTGATAATGTTGATCCTAAAATCCTAACAGACGTGTCACTCGCATCTGGTGCTGCCATCTGCTGTTTTCTTTTTATTGCATTGACCACCTAAAAATAAATGTCCCTTCATATACAGCTTTTTAACACATTCATCTTGAAAACCTTTATAACAACAAAATATTGATTTCTTATCTTCTCCTAACATAAAGTCATCTAGTCACCACGTCAAATGAAAAATCACTCTGGTGCCATGTAATTCATAAGGAAGGTGGGATGTCACCGATAGACTTTGTCTCAGATCTGGCAATTTTAAGAATCTTCTTAGGCACATATATTGCCAAACACAGAAAATAGATGAGAATGTCCAGTGAAAGATTTTTTTGGGATGAAACTTACTGCATATCATCATTGCTAGTGATCACATTTCCTGCCTTACTGTCTTTACACCAATGCCATGTTCATTAAGCTTATTAATTTTCTACAGGTAGCATGACAGGAGTGAAATGGGGTATTCTGATTCCCTTGGGACAAAAATTTACTAACCTGCATCCTTAGGTACAATTACATTACTGTTCAGGGTAAATTTAAAACTTAGTATATGACCAGTTCTGACATTTGTCTGCAGTCGTTGCAGAGCAGAATGCACTCCCAAAGGCTGTGAAATGTTCTGCTGGATGATCTGAAGAGCTGCTCCTCAAGTTGCCTATAGCCCTGGTGCACAGGGCCTCTTGCTTTTCAGAGAGAAGTCTGTGGAAAAGGCTGCTTTCATACAGCCTCTTGCTGTTACTATGTGTTTACACCAATCTTTTTCCTCGGACAATTCAAACCTGTGATGAGGACTCTGACTAGAATAGGAGGCCTCCTGTTCTCCCATTGAAGTATGTGGATAATTAAATAAGAAATGGGAGGGTGGATTACTCCTGGATGACAAATATTTATGGAGAAGAGCTTGGAAGGCAGTCTTATTGGGTATGCTTAAGAAGAAATTAAAAGCTTTGTTCAGTAAGGGAGGTTTTGACCTCATGTAACACCATAACAGCAGCCTGGGGCTAACCTCAAGTAATGTCAGGTCTATAGAAAGCACGCATCTTTGTAGACTCTGAGTTGAATGACTTCATTCGTGGTAACACAGACATACTTAGCAGTCATGAACAGAAGGGAAAAGTAACGTGGCACCAGAGGGAAGTGTAACTACACTGTTAGGTGTTTGTAGGTATTTTTATAATAACACCAATAGGCCTTTCCTACTACCCTTTCTAAAAGGAAAAAACAATGCAGGGAGCAGACAGCCCAGCCAAAATAGTTTGGGTTGGAAAACTGTGATGATTCCAAAAATAGCTTTGTTTCAAACAGCAGGCCTCCAGATGTGACATTTGGGATAGGCACACTCTGAAGAGAAAGAGAAATGAAGGATAAATGTGATCAGCTGTAACAGTTCCAAATAAGGCATATCATAGCTAGGATTCCACAGTCAAGCAATGAAAGAGCAATTACTACAAACTGTAAACATATTCTTCTTCGGGTTTTCTTATATAGCTTACCATCTTTGTATTTGTGGATAAAGATTTCTATATGTAACTTAATAGGTGGTGATGCTTGAAAATCACAACATTTCTGGAGAAAGTCCCTCCATTCTTATAGAGATCTGATTCATTTTAATTCATTATGATTTATGCTATTGATTTTGCACAATTTTTAATTGTGAAAGTTACAAAGCAGAGATGTTCTGCTTGAGCAGATTTCTTAAACATTTATTTCACCATTTAGGATCAATTATTGATTCAGCCCCAATAGATTAGTTTGGAAAAGACAAACCTTTATTTATGTGCAAGACTAGTTTTGCTAAGTTGAGGCATAATAACTACCTGAAAGCACCCTGAAAGGATCTGGAGGGGTCACAGTATTGCTTATCTGAGCAAGTTTGTAAGTGAAACCATCCCTGTGATTTCTGAGCTCTGGGAATCCATAGAAATTGCTCTGGATGTATATGGCTAAGTTTTGTCTTGCAGGTCTCTGGAAACTGTTTTATAGTAGCTTTAATGCTACTATAAAATTTGCTTTAATTACAAGAGTAATGGATTTGAATGAAGCAGTTTGAGACATGGTGGAAATATTTTTTCTATAAACAAACTTGATTTTACTGTGAATTTCTGTATTTCTGTTACATTCGTAGTGCATAATTAATTTTTATGTGATTTTTCACTTTCACCTTATCAGATGGTGGATCAGATGGTGGATAAAGAAAGAGTAACTGGTGTCATCTACCTGGATTTCCCAAGTTGTTTGACCTCATATCACACCAAATCCTTATCACTAAATTTGGATTTGAAGGTTAGTCTATTTAGTGGATAAAGAATTGGTTGGATGATCATAACCAGAGAACTCTATGTCCAGGTGGAGGCTGGTCATGAGTGGTGTCCTCCAGGCCTCTACTGTGGGACCGGTTCTCTTCAGCATCCCAATCAACAATGTAGACAGTGGGGTTGAGTGCACCCCACTGATGACACCATGCTGAGTGCTGCAGTCAATGCAAGAGAAGAAGGGATGTCATCCAGGAAGTCTTGGATAGACTCAAAAAGTGGGCTCATGGTAACATAATGAAGTTCAACAAGGCCAAGTGCAAAGTGCTGCACTTAGGTCAAAGCCATCTCAGATATGAGAACAAACTGGGAAAAGAAGTCCTTGAGAGCAGCCCTGCAGAGAAGGACTTGGGCTGCTGGTGGGCAGAAAGCTGGGCATGAGCCAGCAGTGTTTGCTTGCAACCCAAATGGCTGGCTGTATCCTGATCTACATCAACAGAGGGGTGGGAGCAGGGCAGGGAGGGGACTGTCCCCGTCTGCTCTGCCCTGTGAGGTTCCATATGGAGCGCTGCATCCAGGCCTGGGGACCCCAACACAAGAAGGATGTGGAGCTGTTGGAGCAGGCCCAGAGGAGGGCCACAAAGATCAGAGGGCTCTCTCCAATTGAGAAAGGCTGAGGAAAATGGATTTGTTCAGACTGGAGAAGATAAAGCTCTGGGGAGACCTCATTGTGGCCTTCCAGTACTTGAGGAGATCTTGTAAGCAGGGAGGAAAACAACTTTTTAGGCAGTCTAATAAAGTCAGGGTCAGGGGAAATGCTTTTAAACTAATAGAAGGGAGATTTAGGTTAGATATTAGAAGGAAATTTTGTACTCAGGGCATGGTAAGGTGCTGGATGAAGTTGCTCAGATAAGGTGTGGATGCTCCATCTCTGGAGACATTCAGAGTCAGGTTGGATAGGATCCTGGACAGCCTGAGTTGGTGGAAGGCAACCCTGCTCATAGTGGCAGGGTTGAAACTGTGTGATCTTTAAGGTCCCCTCAAACCTAAGCAATTCTATGATTCTTTGAAATCTTTAATTTGTTTTGAAGAGATACATTTTTTTTTGTTGTGATGCCTTATACACTGGAAATTACTCTCACAGTGCAGGCTAAGCAAGCTTGGTTTCCATTTTTGGACTAATACTCACTTTTACCATCCTGGAACTATGAAAATCATCCCTAGAAACTGAATGTAAATCAAATTGATCTTTCCTAGTTTGCATCCAATAAATTATCTATTTTACCGAATAGCAGGAATGTAGCTAATGGAAACTGGAAAGGAAAATGTGTTCTTATACTTAGCATTCTTTGGAAAAATATTTTTTAAATGTTATAAGCATACTCATAGCAAACATTCACACTCAAAAGAGCTCTCTTACCCCAGGAGTTTATTCTACAATGTCCTCATCTAAATATCTCAGGAGTTCACAGTGAAGTATGCACTGTTTTCAGAAGACTCAGTGGGGACCCGGAGTCTTTTCTCCAAACAGGACATTTGTTGGATTTAGGTGAAAATTGATAATGAAAAGTTAAAAGGCATTCTTTAACCAACAGTTGAAAAGGAAGAGAATGTATTTATCTTCTCAATAATTTTGTCTAAGGAAACTGTATTTGAAAGTTGATTAGATGAAAGCGTACTCAGAATGTCAGCCTTTGAATAAGTTATATTTCAAACCCTGCAGACAAAATCTGACTTTGCACACCAGAAATACACTTTGTAGAGTTGTATTTCTTCATGTAATTGAGTTTACATGTGTGTTACAGGAAAGAAAGATGCAGATTATTCTCTAATGAGATTTTCAGACTGTAGCATAAACACAAGAAGAGCTGCCCAGAACTTCTTGAATACACTGATGTGCTGTCTGGGGAAGTCATAAATACTAGAACAGGTTATGCTTTGCCTTACACAGCAGCAGAGGTAAAAATTAAATCCCCACCTCCCTCAGTTGAGTGAGAAAGGCCTTCCTTGCTTGGTTGGGCACCATCTCCCTCTGCCTTTAGGAAAGGGAGTAGGTTGTCTCTTACTGGCATTATGCATTCAAAAGTAAAGGAAACTGTGACAATTTCAGGAACCTTCACTATGCCCCAACATGCTGCCTCTGCAACCTGCTCCTGCTTCTAGCTGCTCCTTGTGAAGGGCTGGTGCTTACACCACGCCTAGAGCAGAATATGCCTACAGACACAACTGACTCCTTAATCTGTACCACAGTAATTATATATTTTTCAAGGTTCCAATGTGTATTTGTGGTGTTAGGGTTGAGGGATTTTTTTCTCACTGATGTTTTTTTCCTTACAAACAAAAGGAGGTCTGCAGTGCAGAACCAGGGACTGGGTTGGAGTCCAGCTCTGCCCTCTCTGAAGTCACCAGCTAATTAGCATTTAGGTCTTCGGGATAAACAAGCAAGAGATCCTTCTCCCAGTCCTGAAATATCCTGGATCAGTTTTAAACCCCCAAGACCAAAAGTGCCAGCAGCGAGCTGATGAGTGGTAGTAATTCTGCATTACAGGGTCCTGTGTGAGTAGATACTCATACTGTCCAGGCTGGCATAATGCATTCTGGGGTTTTTCTGCAACAGGAGAATCAGCACTTCAGCTGAGCAACATCCTGATGCTGCTTGCCATCTACTTGGTAGATTAAAAATAGGCTCTGGTCTCCAAAATGGTCAGCTTGCTGCAGCAACTTGATTAAGCAGAGGGGTTGTTTCTGGAGGAGAAGGGTCAGCATTTCCATGACTGTGACTGTATAAAGTAAAAGAGCTAGACTTGGTACAGCTAGGTATCAACTGGGGGACACACATGAATTTTCAGCCTAGTATTTGCAGAAGGAGCCTACCTGTTCCAAATGGACAGTTTACGGGGCCATACCCCTTTCAAGACTGAATCCAGATGCAATGAATCAGAGAATCATAGAATCACAGAATGACCTGGGTTGAAAATGACCACAATGATCATTTGGTTTCAACCCCCCTGCTATGTGCAAGGTTGCCAACCACTAGACCAGGCTGCACAGAGCCACATCCAGCCTGGCCTTCAATGCCTTCACAGATGGGGCATCCACTATCTCAGATACGTTCACTCTGAGTTCATGTGTATGAAACAGTTTTTCAACCTGCATGTTTATTTTCATTCAGAATTGTTCTGATTCAAAATTATTGCTGAAAACAATGTTTATTCTTCCTTATAGATGTTTGCAGACATGAGTGATAAGATGGCCACCAATTGTGGTTTGTGACATGCATGGCTATGAGTATGGAACAAAATCTGTTAGTATACATAAGCCACAATGCTTGAAAAAAAAAAAAAATGGCATCAAGAGCATGACAAGCACTTGGTAAAGATGTTGAAAAAGGCCAGAGCTCAAGAAGCCTGAAATCAGTCCCTTACAAGGTAAGGTACACACCAAACACAAGACCAGTGGAAGGAAGTGGGAGGAAACAAAAAAGAATTTTAAGCACTTTCTTATCGGTTAGCAAGTACTCCTTTCTCTCATCTATTCTGAATGGAGGGCAGTCATCACAGCTTGTTTTAAGCCTTCTTTTAAGTGTCCTATTCTTTCTTTTGTGCTGCATCCCAGCATGGTACATGTGTCAATATGTTCCAAACCAGAATACAAAAATGTTATCCCAGCGCTTCATCATTAATTTTAGAGCACTTTTAACATTGAAGAAATGTACGTCTCAAAATGAGCAAAAGCACCTAAGAATAATGTGCATATTTGAAATGTACAGTCATTAAAACAAAATACCCCCCAGGCATCATTGGGATTGATATTTCAGCTGGTTTTACACCTATACTGTTAGTTTTAATACAGGCCCAGCACTAGCACTTACCCAGTGCTAGGCCACGATTGACCTTGAAAATAGGATTTCTGTGGTGAAACAAGAAATACAATATGATATGAATGAGGATTGGAAGAAAATAAGGCATTTTTTACAGCTATCTAAAATATATACTATGTTTTCATGGTTTTGTTAAAATACAGGTATAGATGAAATAGTAGCATTGTCTACAATGAATATTCAAGGAATGGCTTTGGCCCTCTCTTATTTTCAGACCTTAGGTGATTACTTTGTGGTACACTACAATATTAACATAATGGGAAAAATTATGTGCAGTACAAGATGAGCTTTCATTTTGTGCTGATTATGTATGTTTGTGCACTGATTTCTGTTCTTTAAGATGCCTAGATCCCACTTCTTCAAATAAATGAAACAGACAATCCCCAGCACCCAGTAGAGTGGCTCCCACACATGTCCCAGAGGTGTGTGCTCACTGTGGGACCGAAAGGAAATTTTAGCCATGCTTTGCCTGGAAGTTGCTCCCCAGATCTCGCTATACTTACATACAATTATTTCATTTCAGCTGGATGCTTTCCCTGGACCTGCCAGCTGTTCTGAGATACTTTGTGCCAAGTTTGGACCACTTGGTCACAGGCAGTTAATTCACCCACTTTTTATTTTTGTTCTCAGTAATTTCCCATAGTTCCCCTTAATGTCTGGAAAAACAGACAAATTCTCCAGCTCGTTGGGAAAGAGTCATACACTAGATCAGTTTACAGTAGCATGAAGAAATATGTTTCCAGAAGACACATACAGAAGAGAGTGGAACCAGTGAGGACCCTGACAGGCTGAACAAAACAGCAATAATTGCAGATCACGTAGTGTCAAATCAAGGCTTGGTTAACAGATGCCAAACAGTAGAGTTAAATCTGCAGTAAAAGATAGGTTTGAAAGACATTCTGATTGCATCTTCTCTTTTTGTTGTTAGGATTTTTTTTTTTTAATTACACATTTTTTTGTAGCAAAAAAAGATGGAGAAAATGAGAATTCTGCCTGAAGAGAACGCAAAAAGACAACTCAGGTTATTTTGAATACGCTGTTCTTATTTTGATGGAGCCGAATCAGAAAGACAACCGCTCTTTGAGAGAACAATCCAGCAGAAGGCTCCCAGATATGAATCAGAAGATTGTCTCACTTATGCAATGAGTCATATCAGGCGCCGCGCATCTCCCGCGAGGTGCTGTGTGCTCACATTTCCCCAGGGGGCTCTGATCTGCTTCCAGCATCTGTCCCTAAATGCCTGCTGATGCAAGTCTGATCCGTTCTGTAGTTTAAGCTAAAACTGTTCCCCCTGCGGTTGCCTCATGCTTCTGGCCTCGAGAAAGTAATCTGTGTTGCTCTTTTTCCATAAGACTTACTCTCAATCATCTGGTAAATGCTATAACTGACCTTCAGACCACATACACGTACCGCATGTCTCGCAGTTTCTCAACTTGGGAAGGAGGAGTTACCCTTGTTGAATGGAACAGGCAGCGTTCAAAAAAAAAAATAAAAAAAAATCTCAGAAATATTAACTTCTTACATAAAACTTTTTATAACTTACATAAATTTTTTTTCTGAAAACTCAAGTGTCACGGGAAGACAACCGCTGCCCTGATTACACAGTGTTTTGTTTGTGGAATGCCTAACACATGCTTGCAAGGAGAAAGTCATCTCTCTCTTTTTTTTTATAGTCAATAAACTTTCCAAAGTACAGAAAATACACATTAATTTCCTGCAAGCAAAGGGGATATTTGTCTCAGCCAAGAAAAGAAACACTACTTGGTTGCTCTTCTAACAAAAAGAACATTAGGAACAGGCATATTAAGAGATCTAAGGCTTATTGTGGTTATGTGAACCATTGGATATGAATCATATTAAAACTGTATGGCCTTTAATGAAGAGCTCTATCATGTGCCAATGACAGAAACCATGAAATATTTTTAAATGCACAAACCCCTTTCTTTTTAAAATGGTCTGCTGCTTACATATCAAAGACAGAAGCAGTTTTTTCAGCCTTTTTCTGTATTGTCATACCTTTTGGAAAGGATGAAGAAGGATGAAGAAAACTCATCTTCAAATCAAGCCATGCATATTTTTTCTTTCCAGGCTTCAAATGATCTTAAGAACTAAATTCAGGTACTAAGCAACCTACTTGCCCTTTTTGGAAATGCGTTTGACACAGCACAAATGTGCAAACCCATTTCTATGTGAAAGTGAACAAGATATTTTTTATACTCAAATACATCTGGTGTGAGGGTTTAAAGAATACTCCTGAGCTTTCAGAGCAGTCGCTTTTCCAGCACTGGAAAGTAACCGAGGGGAAAACTGGATTACTGTCTAGGTGAGAATTGATACATTACTACTAAGAGCTCATTGGAAGCTGTGGCTTTAAGGAGCTGTAGGTTTTGTCTGTAGACTTTTAGACTCACCCGAGCTTTATTCCAGTTATTGGCAAAACTTGCATAGCCTTCACAGGGAGAAAAATGGACTTCTTGTCCAGAGCAGTACAAAGAGCATATTCTCAAGTACAATGTGCTCCCTCCCATTCCCATAGTCAGACAACATATGCTTATTAAGCAGGACTTGAATAAAAGCCCAAAAGTGAAATTTGCTGATAATAATATGCATGCAAAGATGTTAATAATTAGTTGAGAATGCATATCATAACACACAGCATGATGTTTTCTCTGTAGTCTCATACAACACAGAATGGTTTAGTTTGAAGTTAATTTAATTCAACCCCTGGGACAAAAACAGGGTCTTTTTAATATATTTTTTACTCTCTTCTTTTCTTTTCTTTCATTTCTTTCCTTTTCATTTGCAAAAGCAATATGGTTTGGTTAAACTGAAAGACTCAGTCAACAGGTATTTCCTGAAAATATTTTCCATAAAGAGTTGAATGTGGGTCTCCAGAATGAAAACTGATACTTTCTTTTTTTAATTTTCCAGCCAAAGGTTTCTATGATCTTGATTCTTTAAAATAGGCTGGCTGGATCAGCGCCCAGAACCAGCTAGTTCCATGTGATGTTTGTGGGCGTACTTTCCTTCCAGGCAGACTGATCATACACCCAAAGTCCTGTAAACTGAAACCTGCAGCATGAAGTGAATGGAGCATGCTTGCATACACACACGCTCACACACACTTGTACGTGTGTGTGTGTGCATGAATACACAAGCGTGTGCCTTTCATACAAGCAGCAAGAGAAATAAAATCCAACTGGAAAGCCATGGGAGTGAAAACTGCAGTGCATTGTCAAATCATGTGGTACAAAAGTCTCCAGAGTAAAAACAACAGTCTCTACTGAGGATAAGTTCAAATATGGTGATATTTAGCCCAACAGTAGCAAATATCTTTCCTCATTTCAGAGTTTCATGTAGCACCACCTTGAAAACACAACTTGAGAGAGATGACAAGAGAAAGAGAAAGCTTGAAAGCAATGCTAAGTATCATATTCTGTCTTTTGATCCTGATTTAGGAGATTGAGATTAGATATTAGGAGGAAGTTTTTCTCCCAGAGGGTGGTGAGGCACTGGAACAGGTTGCCCAAGGAGGTTGTGGATGCCCCATCCCTGGAGGCATTCAAGGCCAGGCTGGATGTGGCTCTGGGCAGCCTGGTCTGCTGGTTGGTGACCCTGCACATAGCAGGGGGTTGGAACTAGATGAGCACTGTGGTCCTTTTCAAACCAGGCCATTCTATGTTTCTATGATTCTATGATCCTCTGCTTTGATGGGTTTGGGAGAACCCAACAGAAGGATTTTCCCAGTTTGTTTCTGATTCATTTTGCTGCTCTCATCTCCCTTGACCTAATGTAACATGCCCTGCAGTCCCACTCCTTTCACAGCCTTTCAGATTTAGATATCTGTGTCTTTGAAAGAACTTGTGCCTGGTGTATGCATTTCTTAAGTTATGTGTCATGTTTTGGTATTCAGCAAGGGACAGAAAGAAATAAGATTTTTCACTGCAGAGATTCCCAAGAGTATCTCAGAGGTACTCGTCTTGTGATCTTGTCAGCAGGTAGATCTGTCTACATGACTTGCCCTGAGGCCAGTCACCTACTGCTTCAGAAACTGAGACTTCAGAAGACTTTTAGGAAATGAGAGTTTTGATGAGAAGAGGAATCTCAACAGAAGCAAAGCCAAAGTGATGTTGATCAGGAAAACTGTCTTTCAACAATGATTTGCCTTTCCTCCCATCAGTGTTTTCTGGTCAGAGTAAGGACCTTCAAATGAATTGGGCTAATGAGAGAACCCATGTAGCATCTTTGTTGTCGTTTTTGTTTGATTTTTGGGTTTAGGTTGTCTCCCTACCCTACCCCCCGATCCATCAGTGGATGATGGTTCATTGACTCCAAACAGAGCTTAAATCCACTCAGTACCCAATGTTCATAGCCTTATGGTACAGTACTGTTTATGAAGCTGCTGACTGTCACATACAGACATTCCCTTACAAAGGGATATATCTATGGGGAGGAAGCACAGCCAGGCTGTTTTCAGAAAACACCTCAAAATAACCTCTTCTTGGAGTACTTCTTGCCTAAGAATGATACCCAGTGTGATTTATGCTCAGCTTTATTAAGCAACCCGCCAAAAATTATATGTTAGAGGAGCATATCTTTGTCACAAGCCTGATAAAACATATTCTTCTGTCAAGTCGACACAAGTACAGTGTGTCTTATTATCTGCCCTCTGTGACAGATGTGATCATAACAGAGTGTCAGGGTGTGTGTTATAGAGGAAAGCACTAGCAGAGGTGTTTGATTGTGTCATTTTTAAAAATTCTATGTTACATTGCAGAATCAGTATCAAAACACATCCATGAGTAGGTTAAACACATGAAGGAAGCAATACTAACTCTTAGCAAGGCACAGCAGAGAGTACTTTTTATTGTTATCTGAGTTTGAAGTGTTTTATTAAATAGTCAGTGAGGTTATTCAGAAGATATGACAAAATCCAGTACAAGCTGTTAAGCAGCAGTAGGGGCTTTCTGTATCTTATGTGTGTTTTCACCTTCAGACATAAAACCCTGGAGGTGTCTCTTCTGTACCGTGTGAATTTTCCCAGAAGATTTGCACCTACTGTTGTACTTACACAGAGCAGATTAAATGAATGTCCTCATACACACAAAATGAAATATGCGTATCAGATTCTTTTCTTTTCTGAGATATCAAGCTCTGTGATTTTTGTTGTAAGTGAAATGAGGAGTGATACCATTGTTTAGTTATTAGAGGAACACTCCTGGCTCCAGCTCTGTCGGACTGTTCATTCAGACAGAATTCTTTGGCGAAAGTAATTTCCAGAACAATCAATGGCACATCAGAAGCCTTTCATCTTCAGAATGAGAATTGCATTGTTTGATGATAGATGTCTTCAGAAGTTAAAAGGTTCAATTTCTGCTTTACAGCACAAAGCTGTGTAAACGCTGCAGATCTGTCCCAGTGAGTGTCTCCAATGTGAGGAGAGTCACCAGTGGAGTAACCACTACTATCCTTCAACTTTTAGGCTGGGACCATGCATATGACTTGGGGGATAAAGAGGGGCAATGGTTTGTGATTGCCATATGGGGAGCTTTGGCAGGCAACATGAACTGCAAGAACCTGGAATCTGTTGTAATTCACAAAGGTGCTGGCCCATTGATGAGTGGCTTGATAGTTGGAGGATTATAAGTGTAATGCACTCTCACTTTTTTGTCCCCTCTTCCATACCTCGGATCCCTCATTTTTCAGACATGATTCTTATTTGCCACATCTGCCTCACTGAGTCACCAGGCTTCATTACAGCCAGAAGTGGTTTTAAATGAAATAAACACCTTTTGTGTAGACAGTAAAATCTTTGGCATTAAATATCTATCCCAGCTTTTCAGAAGGATTGAGCTGACAGAATCCTTGTACCATTCTGAAAGTTGGACTCAGGGTCCTGCTGACTTTAGCTCTGTCAGAAATTTTACCCAGAACATTTCTTCCGTATTTCATTTTAAGTTTTTCATCCTATCTATTTTTCCTTTTCAGGATTATTATCCCCAAAAGCAATAAAATTTGTCTGACAAGCTAAGCAGAATGATTATAAACACTCACAAATTATCATAGAATTATAGAATCACAGAATGGCTTCAGTTGGAAAGGACCTTAAAGACTCATCATATTCTAACCCCCATGTCATGGCCATGTTTGCCACTCACCAGAGCCCATCCAAGCTGGCTTTGAACACCTCCACGAATGGTATACACCCACAGATCTCTGGGCAGCTTATGCCAGGCCTCACTGCTCTCTGAGTGAAGAATTCCTTTCTAACATCTTACCTAAATCTTTCCTCTTTTAGTTTAATGGTGTTCCTCCTTGTCCTATTACTATCCAACTGTGAAAAAAGTTGGTCTCCATACTTTTGGTGTTGTGTATCTTACCCAGAAATAGCCCTGCACAGGAGCTTTTATCTTAAGCCTGAAGTACAATTTCCATGTTCATTCTTCAACTTGGCAAAGTGAGAACTGCTTCTGTCTGTAAGTTACTGCAGCAGAGGTCTGAATTTAGCACGGTATCTGTGAAACAGGAAGCCTTACCACTCACAGATGCAAGACACTATTGCACTGTGAAGGCTGTTGGTGAGACAAGGGCATATACAAACTCAGCAGGAAGCAGCAGCTCTCACAGAAAACTCAGAGGTTGTGATACCCCCTTCCCTCATAGCATCCACATTACTGATGCAGTGATTTTCAAAATACACAAGGATACAGAAAGCACTGACAGTAGAGAGTATCATCTGCTTCAAACACTACAGAAGTATCATCATCGCTCTCACCCTCAGGTTACTCTTTCATAAGCTTTTCAGCTATGCTTACTGGTCCTAACCTCAGTTTGTGCCGATGGTGATGGTGAATTCTGTGGCAAGATTTGCTCACAGGGTAAAGCACTGGCAATGTTTTTTATGGTTTGCACTTAGCAGAGTTGAAGTGTGATCTTACAAGCCTTGTTTGCTATTGCTTGGAATTTATCATTCAGACTATTTTTTTGCAGAAGAGGAAAAGGAAATGAGCAACTGAACTACTTTGCCTGCTTTGTTTCTATACTTCAGTAATTTGTCACTTAATCTTATCTCATCCAGTTGGCTCACAGAGATTCTGAGCTCAAACTCATGTTTCCTACTGGTACACTACATTTTAAGAATTGAAAAATGTTTTCCTGTACTTTAAAAACAATGACATTTCATCTAGTTTGCTACAAATGTGCTGACAGCAGCTGAAAATGTTCCTGGGCAAAATGTAGAGAAAGTCAGAACCTGAGTTGACAAGAAAAGTTCAGCATTAAACAAATGAATGTCCTCAATTAGACTGCAAACACACTCTCTAATTGTTTTCATTCAATCTGTTGAATCTACTATTCACATTAAAGAAAGTCATTCTAGAAGAGCAGTCCTGAAGATCTTAGAAATTTAAATAAGTTTAGCTATAGACTTCAAAAATGGGATATTAGTGATTGAAGCCATAGCTGCAGATAAGGACTATATGTGAAGTGGCACAGTTTAGCAAACTGAGAATATTCCAGTCCTTTAGTTACTGTATGAGTCTCAAAAGATCTCATATACTGAAGAGTGGTAGGAAAAACTGTGCAGTAGGCTTCCACAAAAGGGCTTCATATACCCATTTTTTAAAGACTGCCAGGACTTATCAGACTGCATCCTGAGGAACAAAAAGCCTGCAAATGTAATGTCAGTTTCTGTTTGAAATGTAGCATAGAATGTACATACGCACAGATCTGTTAGATCTCTCTCGATGAAATAGACATGAAAAATTATGGCACTGCATAGAAATCAGACTTTCAGCTGTCTTATCCACTGGTAGTGTGCAGGCTTACAATTTAGTGAAGGCTTTGTAAACATAAAATTTGATACTGCACTCATTGAAGACAGTCGGTCACAGTGGCACACGAATATAGGATGAGCTCTGAAAAGCAAGGGGTTGATCAGATATCAATATGTATGTCCCTAAACCAAATTATTCCCTGGAGGATTCTTTGATGGTATGAAATCCTTCATGATTTTTGTTTGCTTGACAACAGTATTGGACTAGTGAGAATTATGTATATTTTTATTATCCAGTTGGACTTTATC